TTTCTCTCTTCCCAAAAGTTGGATGATAAAATCGTGTACAGACAGGCTCAAGCAAGAGTCCGTCGGGTAATCACTCGGAAGAAGAATGAGGCTTGGGAAGAAAGCTGTATGAAGATAAATACCTACCTTGGAGGCCGGAAAAGTACGGAAGGCTGGAAAGTGATCAAAGGGTTTCGACGGAATAAAATGCGCTACATCATATCTCCGGTACCAATTGACAAGATGGAGGACTATTTTGAAGATTTATTAACGGAGAGGCGACCCGAGTTTCAAGGCGGAGTCATAAGCACTAAAGAAGATTCCAATGTGGAGATCCAGCTCCAAGATGTAGTGAAGGCTGTGAGGGAGTTGAAAACTCGCAGAGCTCCTGGACCTGGGGGTATACTAGAGTCCCTTTATACTGAGAGTCAAGACAATTTGAATCCATTTCTGATTGGTTCCCGTATTTTAGGCCTCCACACTGTCACAAACGGGAATAAAGATTACAATTTCACCAATTGCAAAGATTATAATCTGGAATGGACCAGGGAATTACGGGTTCGGCAAGGAACAAACGGAATGAGAGGAGGAACGGAAAAAGGCATTTGAGAATGGGCCGATCAAAGATTACGAAAAACGTTCAATTTGTGTAATCTTTATTCCTGTTTGTGACATCCATGAGCCGAATCGTCTTGACTCTCAGTATAAAGGGACTCTAGGGTATACCGGCGGAGTTGATAAAATGTGGCACCGGTAAACTATTTGAATATCTGAGGAAACTTATGCAAGACTGTTTGCATGGTTCCGAATTACCAAAGGATTGGAAGGAATCTTGGATTACTCCCAGTCATAAGAAAAGTAGTAAGCAAGATTGCGATAACTACAGAGGTATATCGGTCACAGGAACCTTGAGCAAGGTCTACGGTAAAATTCTCAAGGCAAAGGTCTAAGAGGTTTGGAGCGGCCAGGAAGCCGAAGAACAGGCTGGTTTTAGAGCCGGTGGGTCTACCGTCGACCATTTGTTCACCATTATCCAGGTCATCGAGAAGAAAAGGGCGGTCAGCCAGGAGATGCACTTGGTGTTTGTGGATCTTCAGAAAGCTTATGACAGCGTGCCGTTGGTGAAGCTTTGGGAAGCCTTGGAAGGAAGGGGTTTCAGCAAAGGACTTGTGGGGGCAATTAAATCATTTTATAACGGGACGATAGCAAGAGTTAAATCTAGTGGAGAGTTGTCCGGAGGTTTCTTCGTCACAAAAGGGCTAAAACAAGGCTGTTGTTCGTCACCAACACTATTTAAGGTATACCTAGAGCACGTGTTAAAGGAATGGAAAAATAAGGTTGCGGGAATGGGCGTTCCACTCCTTGATGGGCAGACCCTTTATACTCTATGCTTTGCCGATGACCAGATCGTTGTAGCTCAAGATGAAGAAGATGCAGACTACATGACGTGGAAGTTGGTCGAAGAATATCGGAAATGGGGCATGGATGTTAGCGTGTCCCAGACAGAGAAGCTGGTCGTGGGAGCAGCGTATCAACGGCAAAGCATAGAGCTTGAGGATGGACGGCGTATCGAAGAGTGTGACGAGTATAAGTATCTCGGTGTCTGGCTAGATCAGAATGGAAGGGTGGATAGAGCAATTAAGGAAAGGATCATCCAGGACAGGAGAGCCATCGCGATGCTGAACGGGGTGCTCTGGGATCAGAGCATCTCAAAGGCAAAAAAGCACCGGATATATGACGCCATCGTTAAAAGTATCGTGCTCTAGGGTAGTGAAGTGTGGCCTTTGACGAGAAGAACGCAAGAAATGTTGAGGGCAACTGAAATGGATTTTTGGCGGCGACCTGCCGGCATTTCGAGACGGGACCGTGTCCGTAATGAGAGAATTCGCCAAGTGATGAAGGTTGAGAAAGATATCGTGCACGACGTCATGTGCAAAGAATGTCTGAGGAGAGAATTCCCAAACAAGTTTTGGATTGGGTACCACCTGGGAAGAGGCGACGGGGACGTCTCGTAAAGGGTTGGCGGCAGGGCGTTGACGAAGAGATGTTGCGGTGTCAGTTGCCCGATAACCTCTGGGAAGACAGGCATATGTGGCGTTTGGGTGTCGTAGAACGCCAGAGTGCGTTGTAAAGCGACTTTATATATATATATTGACTTTGGATTTGGAATTCACGGCAAAAAATAAGAACGGGTTGTTCTATGCACTTTTTCCCTAAACCCCCATTTTTTGAAGTTATGGGGCATTTTCGGGGCAATTTTCAATTCGATGCTGTAAGCGGCCAAATTATTCAAATTTCAAAATCTAAGTCTCCTGAGAGGAGAGGTCAATACCTTTTTATTGATGTGCCAGATGACCCATGTTGCTCCAAAGTTTTGGGGACCACGGCCCCCCAAAAATTTTGGGGCTTTGGAGGCTCGTGAGTCGAAAATTTAAAATTGCAAGGGTATGTTTTGATTTCAGATATGGATTCTACGCGAAAAGTTACGAAGAATTAATACGGCGCACGGCCTGTTTCCTCCAAATTTTCTTTTTTGCCCCTTATTATCTCCAAAAATACACGGTTTCTTATGGGGAAATGCGGTTCTTCAGTAATTTGGAGGAAACAGGCCGTGCGCCATATCAATAGACCTCATCAGTAGATCTCACTTGTCAGTGAACCCAACTCAAATAATTTCTTAGTGTTTTTTCTTGTTAAACAGTATCATCTAGAGGAAAAAACCCAGATCTACCGTCATACACCGAAAAACATAACTTTTGATCTTTCTACGCCGAAGACCCCGCGAAACCCTGCTTTTGAGGAAGTTTTTATTTTTCTAATGTCACTAATAAACTCAGTATATCAAGAGTAAGCACCAATTCGAATGTGACTATGTGCATTAACGTCACCAAATTCTGAAAAATCTATTTATTTTTCAGAATTTTGGAGCGGCTGCAGCCTCCTGAAAAAGCGTTCTTGAGAAAAGTTTCATAGAAGAAGAAAGTCTTATTTTGACTCAAAGAACACGCTCCTGCACTCAGGTGTTTTAACCTTTGATCACTCTGCACACATGAGGCAATATTGCACGGGATAGTTTGAGAAATCCATCTGAAAAATTCGCAACCCGATAGCGATGCTATCAATTTTTTTTGTAATTTTGAAGGGAAATAATGCAATCCGAGTCGTTTTTCGATGCACTAACGGGAGATGGACACTAGAACCATGATCTTATGTACTCTTTTACAATGAACAAGTTCACATTTTGTGAGCATGTCAATCCCTCTCTTGTCATTTCAAACTGAACTTAGAGCATTCACATTTTTAGCGAGTTAATAGCTGTGCTAGTGTGCTCAGCCACCTGGAAACGAATAAGGACCAAGAATCGTCCATTTCTTGTTGGTGCAAGATTGCATAACTTCCCTTCAAAATTACAAGAGAAAATTGATAACATCGCTGTCATGTTAGCCTTAAGAAAACTATCAAACCTTTTATTGTAGCTTAATGAGACTCTAATTACTTTATCTCTGTTTGGTAGGCGACTTTTTGTAGAGGAAAAAGAGACTTGCTTCCGTAATTTGACGAATAATCATGGCCTCCCTGACCTTCCTAATCGATCACCGATTCATGCTGAGGAATACCTCAGCCCACCCGATCTCTTTACAAGGAATAGCGAAATGCTCTTCAGTACCATACATGTTAATCCTGACTACTTCTAGACAAGGGAAGCTGTAAAAAGTTTGCGTGTGCTCAACGATTCCGCCGAAAGGGCCGTCCGACACATGCAAACATGAAGCCGATCGTTCGCTAAAAAAGAGGATAAATATCAAAATTTGCTTTTAACTTCTCAAACTTGCGAAAAGAAAGTGAACCTAAAAAAGAAAATCAAAAGTCTGTAAATTCTTTGAAGTGTTCGTGATACTTTCATGTCTGTATAAACCCAAATATTTTGGCTTAATGTTTTTTTACATCCGTAGCACATCTATCGTCTACCTGGTACATAATTGACTTTAATGTGCCTCACTTTCCTTATAGGTCGTTTTACTTGTTGAATGAACAAAAAGACCATTTTGGGTTTCCGCGGACTGAAGTCGCGTCGTGGCGTCAGGTAGGCATACGTATGCGCGCTGCAGCAAATATTTTTCAGAGGCTACTCATGCCTTTAAAATACACGAAACGGCGAAACGGACAAGATTGTCGCCCAACGTTCCGTAACTTTTCATTTCCATTTCAGAATGACACCTTAAAATTGCATAAATTTAAACTTTGCACTTAGGCTCTTTTTGTCCCGTGGGAGGAGGGTTAAAATTAAAATTTTTGAATTTTTCGAAAAGTATGTTCATTTTTACAACAGAGAGAAACATTTTTGAGATAGCACTTTTCGGATTTGGAAAAATCCAAAAATAAACCACACCCTAACCACCTCCGGCCTCTCCCCCCCCCCTCCTCCTTTTCTCTAGGACATTAGGCATTTGGCAGGCAATCATTTCCCATTTTGACAAAAAGGGAGAAAAACTTTTACCGATTTCAAAACGTAAAGGCATCAAAATTATCGGAAGCACAGGAAAATTACCACCAGACGGTAAAAGCATCGGCAACCCTCGACGATCAATAACCATTTTAATTGCCAGGTGATTTTTACGAGTTTTCTTCCTTGGTTAACCGACTTACAGACTAGTTGCAGTAACAGCGTTCAAAAAAGATTTTCGTCAGTTCACTATGGGGACTGTCAATTCCGAAATCCCGATACACTCCAATAGGGCCGCTCTAGTCACAAACGGGCGGCTTTATTGAAGCTGCGCGAGCTTCAAATCAAAGTACCTATTGTGGCCTCGTATATCCATCCTATGGGTTATCTGGCTCATAAGACTTATATGAAAAAAAAAACTCATGTTCACCATCTCCGACAATTTCGAAAGCGGTAGGGGTCTTATTATTGTTACTACTTTTTAACGGAAATGTTTCGATAGCTTTCCAAAAACAGGGAGAGCACCGCTACGCTCCACTAATATAAATTCTGAATGAGTAGATATCATCAGCTTTACCTTGACAAGCTCCTTCAGACGTTCTCTGGTGTAGACATTTCCGATCTCCTCGCCCAAGCACCAGTCGAGGATCTTGCTGATAGGGAAGGACAGCGGGAACGTGAGTACCATGACCACCTTCGTGATGCAGATGGTCTTGGCCCCGATGGCCAGCCCGTGTCGCGAACAGACGGCCTGCGGCGAAATCTCGCCAAAGATGACGATAGCCAGCGTTGATGTAATGACAGCGACGAGCCCTGACGTGAGATCGTCCATAAGGATGGTGAACGTGGAGTTGACCATGACGTTGCCCAGGAGGATGGAACAGAGCAAGAAGTTGCCGTGTTCCCGGACCGGGTAGATAGCGCGGGCGTAGCGGCGCTCGGCGTCCGTGCCTGTGTTGCAGATTATTTTTAGGTCCGTCCGGTTCAGGGACATCAGACCCAGGTTGAGCCCCGAGAAGAGGCACGAGAAGGAAAGGCACACCAGGATGATGATAATGGCTAGCCAGAGGGGGATCAACTTCTGATAGGTGCGCAGCGCGATGAACTTCTCCGAGCCGAGGTGCTTCCACACAGAGTTCATCGTTCTGTTGTGCACCGAGAGGTCTTTTGAACAGAAATACAGCGTCAGACCTGCGTCTTCGGGCACTTTGATAGTGATGAGCACTGAGGTCTCTGAGTCCTCCAGTTGCACCTGCGCATATAAACAGAACTCTTAATGATTAATTTCAGCACTGGACAAGCCACTTCGAGGCTCGATTGAACAACAATCAATCAATTTTCGATACATGGATAGATTTCGATATTTATGAGGACTTGGGAATTGCTTCCTCTTTTCAGTTCCGACATGGAAATGTTTGGTCTTCAGGCCAATTTGTACACGCTACCGATAATTAAACATCAAAAGATGCTTACGAGGAAGGGAAAGCAGACAATTTTATGATAAAACACATATAAGGGCACGCGTTACGCAAGAGACGCTTAAGTTAATTTTCACTATTTCCAAAGAGGGTGTCATAACGCCCTCTTGGGAACCACTTTCTTCTTTGGCTTAGGATGGGTCTTTCCCCATTCTCACACGATATTTCTTCAGAAATCTTAGAGCAAGCAGTGCTCCCTTTACCTACATGGACCGTACGCCACTGAAAGTACATTAGAGTACTTTTATAGACAGAGTGTGGCCATTTCAATGCCGGTTTTTCATTGGTCGAGTGAAAACAAGCTGACGATATTCTCACAGCCGTAGATAAACAAATAAGAGGGCTGTTATGAGCAAGCAAGTTTGAGGTTATGCATATCTTACATCCTCCTGTGATAAGGGCGCAAAGGTTGAAAGGTTTTCATGTGTTTTTCATGTGTTATTAGTAGATATGCTGGTTTAATTGATTATGCCGTATAATTGAAAGGACCCCGCACACCTCTTATGGGAAGCTGCACCATGAGTAAACCTTTATTGTTTTTAACCATTCGATTCTCCTCAAGATGCTGATCAAAAGTTAGTGTTGCGCCAACTTTCTACGATGCACCGTTTTCGCAAAAAACAGCCGAGAAGATTCAATTATTCGGCGAAAAAAAGCCAGAAAGATTCCTCATTTTAGCACTCGAGTGCTGTGTGTCAAGGAGATCAGGGAAAATCCCGCACCGACCGGCAGTCTTACCTCGGATTCCGCACGCCATTTTGCTCGACCATCCAAATCAGATTCTTGAGGAGCATAAGAACAGGAAAGTCGGAAAAAAACAGTGAAAGTATCAACCGGACGAGAGCGGGAAGGAGATAGCCCCTGAGTCGGCAGGTACAGATAAGAATACGGACACGGGCTACGTTTTTTCTTTATTTACATCGGGCCTGTTCTCGAGTGCTTTGTTCTTTTTTATTCATTGTCGCTGAATAATTGAATCTTCTCGGCCGTTTTTTGCGAAAACGGTGCATCGTAGAAAATTGGCGCAATAATAACTTTTGATCAGCATCTTGAGGAGAATCGAATGCCATAAAAAAAAAATAATGTTTCTTCATGGTGCAGCTTCCCATAAGAGGTGTTCGTGTGCGGGGTCCTTTTTGTCACATTTTAGCTTCTTATCAATGTTACGGTGAGCCACCATCTTGTTTCTTTATTTACGGCCGTAAGAGCATCATGAAGCCTAAAAACTCGTTGACCAATCAAAATGCGGTACAGTCTTCCTGTAGTAAAACGATGAGAAAGGTCATACTCTGTCAATAAAGGTATTCTCGACAATGACATTTACGTTGAAGGTGCAGCAAAAATGCTTTACAAAGGGGTGTGCGACGTACCGCTTCAATCGCAGTACATTCAAAACTGGAAGCTATATTTCAAACAGGACGTAATTGACACGCTTAATGGTGGGTTTGGTGGGCCTAGCAACCCAGAAGACAAACATATTGGGCAACGATGCTGCAACTGGACTCCCGCGAAGTATCGATGGCGTTTCCGACAAGAGCAGCATTGCATATTTAGAGGCAAGTAGTAACACATACCGTTGGCCTACCGAAAAGGACTCATTTTTACACCCCAAGCGATGAGGCATCAATCATTAATGTTTTCGCTTCTAGGTCACTGTGCGACTAACGGTTGGTCCAAAAGCTTTCTATCCGTAACCTACTTTGTGGCCCGGCCGCACGAATTCAAACGAGTGTAGAGATCAGGGTGCAATTAGTTTCTCTGACTCCGCTTTTCCTTCTTCGCCTTGGTGTGCGTTTCCCTGTCTGCAATTTTGTACTTTTTGCCAGCGGCCTCGCCCCCCTTATATTTGTTTGTGGTTTGTGTTGTTTATCTACTTTTGTTTATGTCGTACCTCCGTTCTTCAGCCCTCGAAATAATGTCAATTACTCGCCCCTGAAACATCCAATCGACGCCCTTAAAAAGGACAATTTTGGTGCGGTTTATGATACCTTTGATCTAGCATGTAGCAAGTGACAGCCATAGCCGCCAAGTCAATGCGAAATTCTACAGGCGTAAACATGTAACAGAATAATTTCAACGGCGACGCTCTTCCATTTTCCTGAATGATACGCTGTGAAAATTTTAGCTCATTCTTGTGCCAAGTAAGGCTGTAAAGATGTATTCAGTAGAATCAAATAAGTTTTGCTCTACCATGTCTCCCAACTTTTTAGCCCTTCAAAATGGAAAAATCTGACCTTTTTTTTCTTTAAATTTGTTCAAAATTTTACGCTTAATCAGGTCCCAACATCGCTTTAGGCAGTTTTTGCCATTTAATATCAGAATTTTGGCCCTAGACAGCTGAAATGTCCTGTACCGTAGCCTGTCTGCGACTCAAGTGCGCAACTTTAACGCTTCATAACCATCATCTTGCATCTAAATACTTCCACTTCTGCTGTAAATTCACAATCAACTTGTACCTAACTTATTATTTTCAGTTATATTCATCCAAATAAGTGAAAATATTGACCGTCTTTGCGTCAAGCAGCCTTGTCTGCGGAATTCGCGTCCTGTACCGTAGCCCCCT